GAATTCTGGAGGCCTCGGCTCTCGACGGAAATGGGAGGGAGAGGTCGGGGACAAAACCTTTCCGAGAATCAATGAAAATGGCCTCTCCAGGCCTTCTTGAGAGTCCGTGTGGGGCTCTGTGACCCGTCTGAGGGCCCCCTTTGGCCGTCCTTAGGCGTTCTTGGGCTTGGGCCGTCTAGGGACGCTCATGCAGATCCGTCGTGGCGAGCCCCCCTCCTCCAGCGCATCTACAGAGCGCCCCTCTGTAAAAGCCGCAAACGGGGGATGGTATTTTGACCTGGGACCCTTCGGGGCCCCTCCCACCCGGGACCCCCCCTGGGACCCTCCCACCCCCCTCGGCGGGGAAGGGATCAAAGGGAAGGGTCTTCCCTTCGACTCAATGACAACGCTGTTAATTTCGCTTTGGCTGGGTTGCTTCATTTCGCTTTGGCTGGCGCGCTTGAGGACGAGGGCCCAGGGAAAGAGGGGGAGAGCGGCGACGGACCCAGAAAAGAAGACGACGAGTACGTACGAGGACAAGAACCACGACGAACAACGCATTCCACACGCCGACAGGGTTGGCGGATTTTAGCCAGCGTTGACCCGAAACATAGACTTCGTGCAATCTAGGCAGGGCAATCTAGGTGTAGCAATCAATCAGGTGCAACCTAGGTGGTGCAATCCATGTGTTGCAATCTGTGTGGCGCGAAGCAATTCAGAGCAATGCCAAGCAATGCAAACCACTGCAAAGTAATGCCAAGCAATTCCAAGCAATGCACAGCAATGCAAAACAATGCAACGCAATGCGAAGCAATGCAAAACTACGTCAAGCAATGTACAGCAATGCCAGGCAATGCCATGCAAAACCAAATACTGTCTAGTAGTGCGAGGCAAAGCAACGTAGTGCACAGCAATGCAAAACTATGCAAAGGGTTGCCACGCAATACCAAGCAATGCAAAACAATGTAAATCAATGCGAAGCAACGGGAAGCAATGCAAAGCAATGCTAAGCTTTGCAGCGCAATGCAACGCATTGCAACGCAATGCAACGCAATGCAACGCATTGCAACGCAATGCAATGCAATCCAACGCAATGCAACGCAATACAAACAAATGTCAAACAATGCAAAGCAGCGCAACTCATTTCAAAACCATGCAATGCAGTGCAATACAACGCAATACAATGCAATGCAATGCAATGACAACGCATTGCAACGCAATGCAAACCAATGTAAGTCAATGCAGAGCAGCGCAAAACAGTGCCAAGCAGTGCCAAGCAGTGCAAAGCAATGCAAAGCGGGCGGCGACGAGGCGGAGGCCGGCGACGAGGTGGCGACGGCGGCCACATGGCGGCCCGAGCGGCCCGCAGGCCCAGGCGACGGGCGGCGACGAGCGGCGACGAGGCGGCGACGGCGGCGACGTGGCGGCCACGTGGCGGCCAGAGCGGCCCACAGACCCAGTGCTTCAGAAAACAAGTAAGAACCCCTAAGTGCAAGCACTGTTTGAACGGCGACGACGAGCGACGACGTCGACGAGCGACGACGACGAAAACTGCAAGCACTGTTTGGGGAATGCAATTATTGCATTCCCCAATACTCGCCGTCCTATTATAGAACAGCGAGTATTGAGGAGGAGGGCTGCTCTTCCCGCTTCGTGGCTTCCCCCTGCTCCTTCTGATCCTCCCTCCCTCCTTGGCCCAGATCCCTTTCCTGGCCCCTCTTGCTTTTGCCCCTTCCCCTACCCTTTGCCCAGATTGCGGCTCCCTTCTCGTCCTTGTCAAGGGTGCCGCATGCAGAACGCAACCTTCGAATATTCCAATCGACCCCAGAGACAAGCCAGCACTGCCGCAACCAGGGCTTCCGTGGCTGGTCATGCGGGGGACGTTCGATCTTACACCTCTTCTTTGTCCCCCTTCCCTGCCAAGGGTCCGCCTCGTCTTCGTTCCCTCTTGCCTCCCCGCTCCCCTGCTTGCCCCAGTGCGCCCAGGAATCTGGGTTCGTCGGATGCCTGTCCGTCAGTCCGTCCACCTGCCAGGATCCCCTTCTCTCTCCTCTGACTCTCCCAGATTCCCTGCTGCTGCTCCTCCTCACCTTTGCCTTCTTCTCTTGTTTCTGCTTCTGACTCTGATTTTTTGCATATTTTTCTCTTCGTCTCCTCATCCTCCTACTCCTCCTACTCCTCCTCCCCGTCCCGCTTCTTCTTCGTCCTCCTCGTCGTCGTCGTCGTCGTCGTCGTGACACGCTGGCCTTGTTAAGGTGGCACAAACAGCAGCGCTGCGTCTTTCCACCGATCCCCATGGTGGGACGGGCTCGGTTGAGGCGTCGGCTTTCTCCCTCTCTCTCTTCCTCGTCGTCGCCGCCACCTGCGTCGTCGCCGTTGTCGTCGCGGCCATCTCCGTCAGCGCCGTCTGCGCCGTTGCAGTCTCCGTCGCCCTCCCTGCCGCCGTCCTCGCCGCCGCTGCCGCCGCCGTCCTCGTCGTCGACGTCGCCGCAGGCGCGCGCCGCGCGCCTGCCGGGCCCAGGGCGAGGGATGCAGCCGCCGGATGCATTCGCAAAGTCCCCCGCGGCCGCGTCGCCGGCCGTGCCGCCGGCGGGGCAGCCGCTGGCGGTCGCCGAGGGCAGGTCCCGAGAGCGGCGGCGGCGGCGGCGTCGGCGGAGACGGCGGCGGAGACGGCGCCGCAGACGGCGGCGGAGACGGCGACGGCAACGGCGGCGGCGGCGAAGGCGGCGGCGGCGAAGACGGCGGCGGCGAGGACGGCGAAGGCGACGACGGCGAAGGCGGCGAAGACGGCAAAGACGGCGGCGGCGAAGACGGCGACGAACGGCGCTGGCGAAGACGGCGGCGGCGGCGACCATTAAGGGCGGGGAGGTGGGAGTAGCGGGTTGTTGTGGGCGGGCGGGCCCGAAGCCGACAGAAGGGGGATCCGTCACACAGGGCAGGAGGAGGAGGAGGAGGAGGAGCAGGAGGAGGAGGAGGAGGGGGGCAGGGTAAGGGGGAGTCAGTGGCATCCTCAGTCTCGTTTCTCCTTGTCCTTTTTATTTTTCTCAGGTGCGTGGAGGGACGTGGACGGATGATGAGGAGGACGATGAGACGACTCGTGTCCTCGTGTCAGACGAGCAGACGACTGGTCATCCTTCCCTCTCCCTCGTTTCAGACGAGGGAGAGCCAGGAGGGAGGAGGGATGACCAGGGGAGGTGCATGAGAGAGTTGGACGAAAAGGGGGTGGAGGAGGAGGGAAAGTGAGGAGGACTAGGAGCAGGGAGCATGGAGCCAGGAGGGAGAGGACATGGATGTGGAGGAAGCAGATAACAAAAACACTAATACTACTACTAGTACTATTCGCCACAGGAGTAAGAGTATTGGGGGCGACACTAATGATATTCATACGAGTTCTAGTAATAGGAACAAAACTAAGAAATAACAAATGAGATAGGGCGTCAGGGCGAGAAGGAGGGATATATATATATAGAGAGAGAGAGAGAGAGAGAGAGAGAGAGAGAGAGAGAGAGAGAAAAAGAGAGAGAGAGAGAGAGAGAGAGCGAGCGAGCGAGCGAGAGAGTGAGAGAGCGAGAGGTAACGAAGCGCCGTTACACACCTATACATATATGCATATAGTGACGCAGCTACCGCATCGAGAGTGAGACAGAGAGAGAGAGAGAGAGATACAGCGAGAGAGAGGGAGAGAGAGAGGGAGAGAGAGAAAGGCAGGGAGAGAGAGAGAGAGACAGAAACATGAAGCGAGGGGTTACATACATAGAGAGAGAGGGATAGCTAGTGAGTGAGATTCGAGAGAAGTGACACTTTGTGAGAGGGAGAGAAAGAGAGAGAGGAAGAGGAAGGGATATAGAGAGAGACACGAAGATATGGGGGTCAAGGGATAAGGCGAACGAGGAGAAGGAGGAAGAGGAGGTGGTGGGAAGAGGAGGGGATTGAATGAACGAACGATGCGGAAGAGCAGAGGTGATTTGATGAGGCTGATGATGCTAATGATGAGCGTAGTGAAGCTCATGCTGATATGATGCTGACGACGGTAGCATCGATGTCGATGACTATGACCATGGCGGTGATTCCGTTGATGATGGCAAGCGTGCTGATGATGCAGATGACGATGGCTATGATAATGACGGGTACGGTGACGACGAAGGTGATTAGGATAATGCTGACGGTGACGACAACCGATAGTGTTGAGCGTGATTCAGATGCCGATGGCGATGTCGCTGCACATTCTGATGATGACGGAGAGGATGAGCTTGATGTGGCTGGTAATCGTGATGATGAGGATGAGGATGAGGATAAGGATGATGCTGACGATGATGATGCTGATGATGCCGATGACGATTACGACGATGATGTTGTTGATGATGATGGCGACGATCCAGATGATGAAGTTGGTGATGATGATGCTGATGAAGACGACGCCGATGATAATGCTGCTGCTGCTGATGAGGTTGACGTTGCCGACGACGATGATGATGGTGATGCTGACAATTCTGATGATGCTGCTGATGATGGTACTGATGCTGATGGTGACGATGATGATGCTGATGATGATGCTGCTGCTGACGATGGTGATGGTGGTGCTGATGATGATGATGATGATGATGATGCCGATGACGATGATGATGCCGCTGATGATAATGATGATGACGATGCTGCGACTGCTGATGATGATAATGTTGATGATGCTGATGATGATGACTACGATGCTGATTACGATGCAGATGCTGATTCTGATGATGACGATGATGATGATGATGATGACGTTGACGTTAACATTGATGATGCTGCTGATGATGACGATGATGATGATGATGCTGATGATGATGATGACGATGCTGCTGATGATGGTGATTATGATGCGTATTACCGCTGATGATGCTGATGATGATGGTAGTGACGATGATGGTGATGCTGATGATGATGATGACGATGCTGATGATGATGCTGATGATGATGATGCTGATGCTGCTGATGATGACGATGATGCCGATGATCTTGCTGCTTCTGCTGATGATGGTGATGTTGATGATGATGGTGATTCTGCTGCTGCTGATGATTAAGCTGATAATGATGGTGATGCTGATGATGATGATGATGATGATGATGATGATGACGGTGGTGATACTGATGATGATGACGATGCTGTTGTTGATGATGATACTGATGATGGTGATGATGAGGGTGCCGATGGTGATGCTGATGATGATGATGATGCTGACGATGATGATGATGATGATGATGATGATGATGATGATGATGATGATGATGCTCGTGATGATGATGAGGAGGACGAGGGTGAGGATGATGATGCTGCTGCTGATGCTGATGATGCTGATGATGCTGATGATGATGCTGCTGATGAGGATGAGGCTGGTGCCGCTGCTGATGATGGTGCTGATGATGGTGCTGATGATGATGATGATGATGATGATGATGATTAAGATGATGTTGATGATGATGATGATGATACTGATTGTGGTGATGATGAGGGTGCTGATGGTGCTGATGATGATGCTGACGATGATGATGCTAATGCGGTTGAGGAGGATTATGGTGATGATGCTGCTGCTGATGTTGATGATGCTGATGACGATGACGATGCGCTGGCTGCTGATGCTGATGATGATGCTGATGATGGTGATTGTGATGATGCTGATGCTGATGCTGATGATGATGAAGACGAATATGCTCATGATGATTATGATAATGATGCTGGTGATGATGATGATGATGATAATGATAATGATGCGGATGATGACGCTGATGATGATACTGATGATGATGCTGATGAAGATGAAGATCAAGATGATGATGATGATGATGATGATGATGATGATGATGATGATGATGATGATGATGATGATGATGATGCTGCTGCGCTGCTGCTGCTGCTGATGATGATGATGATGATGATAGAATGATGATGATGATGATGATAAAATGATGATGATAAAATGATGATGATGATGATGATGATGATGATGATGATGATGATGATGATGATGATGATGATGATGATGATGATGATGATGATGATGATGATGATGATGATGATGATGATGATGATGATGATGATGATGATGATGATGATGATGATGGTGGTGGTGGTGGTGGTGGTGGGTGATGATGATGATGATGTTGATATTGATGATGATGATGATGATGATGATGATGATGATGATGATGATGATGATGATGATGATGATGATGATGATGATGCTGATGATGATGATGATGACGGTACTGGGAATGCTGCGTTCAATGTTTTCGTGCTGCCGATGCTGATTCTGATGATGCAGGGAAGGATGGAAGCAGGACATGCATGTGATGATGAAGTACACGTGGTGGTGGACGCCGAGGAGGAGGCGGAGGAGGAGGAGTAGGAGGATGCTGAAGAGCAGGTGGAGAAGACTGAGGGCCCGTGCGATTGGGTAGAAGCGCAGGCGCTTCCGGGGCACGATAAAGTCCTTCAACGAGGGCGCCGGCTTCGGCTTCATCTCATGTCCTGAGACTAGGGAGCCGCTGCCAGAGGCTTCCAAGCACGAGGGGGCGGTGGGATGGGGGGAGGGGATGGAGGGAGGGAGGTGGGAGGGAGGGAGGGAGGGAGGGAGGTGGGAGGGAGGGAGGGAGGGAGGGAGGGGTTGAGGTATGGAAGGATAGGGCGGTGACAAAGCAAGGAGGGAGGGTGAAGGCAGAGAGGCAGAGATGGATGGATGGATGGAGGGAGTGTGGGATGAGAGGGAGGGAGTAATGGAGGGAAGAAGTGGCGGACGAAAGGAGGGAGGAGAGAGGAGAGAGGAGGGAGGGGCGGTCAGAAGGAGGGGATAGAGCCAGGGAGAGAGGAGGGGAGGAGAAGCTAGGTGCACCCTCCCCACATCTGCCATCATCCTCCCTCTCCCACCCATCCTCCCATCGCGTTGAGGGTCGCAGTGGCGGATTTACTAGGGATCGTGCCTTTCCCGCTCCACCAGTTCCGTAAGCACCGTTTGCCGCAAAGCTGGGCCAGACCGCGCGGGCCATCGGCTAACCCTGTCATTTATGTCATGGCCCGTGCTCTTCCCACTCCGCCGGTCCCACCAGCGCCGCTTGGCCATCCAGCAGGCCGCGCTGGACCGCGTCAGCAATCGGCAAACGCTTTCATTTCTGCGGACTCGGACCTGTTTCCCTTCACGTGCACAATCAGTGGTATCTGTTCTTATCGATATCGTTTGACGTCCGCAGCTCATTTGTGTCAAAGGAGCGTTGCATGGTAGCGGAGCGTCGGTTTAACCGGCGCTCCCGCGCACCAGCCCGGCCGCGCTCCAGCGCGGCCCGCCCTGCACACTCCAGCCACGGCTTCGAGCAGCGATAGCGGGGCTGCCGGCGGCGTGTGGCTGTGGGTGCCAGACGAGGAGGCCCGGGTCGAGAAGACCAACGACAGGGTGCAGCGCAGGTGGCGCCACGTGGTGGCGAAGGTGCTGAAGCAGAAGTACCTGAAGGGTTTCTGGTCGGTGCTCGGTGAGTACCTCAAGTACGTCAAGGCCAGGCAGCTGCGATGAACGACCAAGAGAGGCAGGCCTTAGCCAGCCTGCAGTCAGCGGTGGAGGCGCTGAGGCTTCAGAATGCACAGTTGACGCAGCAGGCCGAGCAGATGCAGCAGCAGAATGTTCAGATCAGGACGGAGCTCGCTCGGCAGGTCCAGGCTCAGGGAGATCTACCACGGCTGGCCGAGCAGCTCGGCGATGCGGTGCAGAAGCTGTCAGATGAAAGAAAAGAGAAGTCTTCTGCGCCGGCCTTTTCCCTTGTGGACACCAAGGGGCTGGGCAAGCCCTCCATCTTCAAGAATGAGGAAGCGAAGTTCCTGGAGTGGTACCGCAAGACGAACGCGTACCTGACGGCAGTCTTCGGAGAGCAGTTCCGCAAGCTGCTGGAGTGGGTGGAGGATCAGGCGCAGGAGACCACGGTGATTAGCATGGAGGTTCTGGAGGCAAGGTTCGGCAGTGACGACGATGACGAGGATGAGTTCATTCCAGACCTCCGCGAGAAGGTCAGCCAACTGTACGTCGCACTCCAGACGCTGACAGAAGGTGAGAGCTTTGCCCTAGTGATGAACACTCCCAAGGGCAACGGCGCCGAGGCGATGAGGAAGCTCATCAGGCGCTGGGACCCAGCTTCGGGAGGCAAGCGCCGCGTGCTCTTGAAGCAGATCATGAACC